GAGAAAGGGAGGAGGAGAGACAAAGGGAAGAGGGGAGACAATGGGAAGACGAGGATGAGGAGGAAGACGGTCAAGCAGAAGCCGTGGAGGCGGATGAGAGATGGAAGTCAAGAAGGAGAAGGAAGAGAGCGAGAGGAGGAGAGGAGAGAGAGGGAGGAGGTAGAGGAGAGAGAGGAGGAGGGAAGAAAGCAGATGAGGTGGAAGAGAAAGATGAGGAGGACAGGGATGAGGAGGAGGGGAGGAGGACTGGTCGTCGACGAAGCAGGAGAAGACAGGGACTCAGTTGCTGAGTCAATGCAGCTTGGGGGAGCAGAAGGGGGATCAGCACGCATGGATTCTATTGAAAGAAGGTCTTTCAGCGGGCGCAAGTACCAGAGAAGCCTCAGTGAGGCGAGTGATGCTGATACGCCCCTGGCCATGCCGGTGGCAGTGGGAGGGGCGCGGCAGGGCAGAGGGAGGATGGGGCATCGGAGATAGGCGATGGGGAGGAGTCGGATATTGGCGTGCCGATCGCCATGCCCATGGGTCCCCCGCCGAAACGACTAGCGGAGAGAGCAAGGGGTGGTGGTCGTGGTGCTGGTGGTGGTGATGAGGAGGAGGTGGAGGATGGGGAGGAGGGAGAGGATGGGGAGGGGAGAGGGGGGCGTGCAATGGACGAGGAGAGTGAGCTCGATGCTCCCATTGCAATGCCGTTAGCAGTGAGAGGGCAGGTGGGAGCAGGAGGATCAGCGGCGACAGCATCGGCGGCGGGATAGAGGATGATGGCATGAGCGTTATGTCTAGCGAGCTTGCCGCACCTATCGCCATGCCTGTCGACGACAGCTTCGGCAGGACCCCCGAGGCTACGGACGAGGCTCGGCGGCGAGCGCCGAACCAAGGGTACGCTCTGCTTTCCCGCCATATGCTCCTGTCGCTTCCACCAATTCCACACCACGCAAGCCAAAGCACCATCGAACCAGAGTCAGCAGCAGCAGCACAATCAGCAGCCACACTCGAAGGAGTTTCCGCTTCCACCGCAGCAGCAGCAGCAACACCTACCCTCCTCCCATGTTCAAACCCCGTCATCTCTTGGCTTCTCCCCTCCTTTGGTCGACACAGGGCTCCGGCGCAGGTTCGGGCTTTAGCTGCAGAAGGCCACCGAGCGGAGGGCCAGGTTCGGCCCAGGCCTCCCCGAGGGGAGCAGGTCCGGGATCGCGAGGCTCGTCAGCAGCAGGGTCGCCGAGGGAGAGAGGGAGACTGGAGAGCCAACGCTCGTCTTCCTTCAGGGCTCCTGTTCGGTATGTTTTACCCCTCTCTCTCACTCTCCTCTCTCTCACTCCCATCTCTGTCATGCACTCTTTCTATCACTCACTCTCTCTCACTCCCATTCCCCCACGACTCTTTTGCCGCTGACTTAGCAATTGTGACTTGAACTGACGTGCTTCCATTCACCTCTCCACACCCACCTACACCCTTCAGGACCTCGAGCCTGCACTCCGAAGCAGCAGGGCAGGTTCGGCACAGCCCCGGGAAGGACACAGACACATCAGCAGATGGCGCACAAGTGGCTCGTGGCGGATCCTTATCCAGTTGCCAGGCTGGCAGCCACGCTGGCAGCCAGGCTGGCAGCCGACCAGGGAGCTTAGCTGGCAGTCCCAACAGCAGCGGTCGTCTTGCTGCTGGTGGTGGTGGCAGTGGGAGGGTGGCAGCAGGAGCAAGCAGTCTCGGGCCTGGCAGTGGTGCTTCTACCCCAACAGCTGGTTTCCTTGCTGCTGCGGGTTCGCCTTCTGCTGCTGCAACATCTGCTTCAGGCACTCCTCATTCGGTCACACCGCTTTCAGTCACACCCAATGGCGAGGGTGGTGGTTTTGATGCTCCCGAGCCTGCAACACCAGTCGCCCACCTTATCCCGAACCTCCAACTCCCATAGCTCAACCCGCAACGTCGTATGCCGAGCCTCAAACTCCCATTGCCCAACGGCCGGCGATTTTCCCGAACCACCAACTCCTATCGCCAAACCTGCCGAACCTTATGCTGAGCCTCAGACACCCATCGCCCAGCCTGCCAAGCCTTACGACGAGCCTCCAACTCCCATCGCCCAACCTGCCGAGGCTTATGACGAGCCTCCGACGCCAATCGCCAAGCCTGTGTCCCCACCCAAACCTGCTCCTGCTCCCCGAACCTGCTCCCGAACCTGCTCCCAAGCTTGCACCTGCACCTGTACCTGCGCCAGTTAAAGCTCCTGCTCCTGCTGCTGCTTCTAGTTCAACTGGAATTTCTGCGTCAGTTGCTGAATCAACTGTTTCAAGTGCCGCTAGTGAGGCAGAGAGTGGGAGATTGTGGGAAGACGATGCAGCAGGGGCTAAGCGGCTTGCTGCTGCTGCTGGTGCGGGGAAGAAGAAGAAGAAAAAGTCCAAGTGGTTCATGTGCTTTGGACCCCCGTCGGCTGTCGATGACTAGAAACATCAACCACAAATCCTCAAGCACCAGAGGTGACTGAATGAGGCCTAGGGTAACAGTCTTCGATTTGGGCCGCCATTTGCTGTCAGTGACGAGTCATGACTCATTTGTTAGAATAAGGAGTAACTTAGGAGTAACTTAGGTTTAGGATGCCTAGGCTTAGAAGCCTAGGCAAGGAGGGTAAGGAGAAGATTGTCGAGAAAAGGAAGGGGTTTCACTATTGAGCAAAGGGTACAAATAGGAGAGACGCAAGGTATACCACCAACAGTTAAATGTAATGCTACACTAAGCTACAACTACATGCAGTTATAACAATATAACTTTGACATCCCCCCTTAACTGCATGCAGTTATAGCCAATTGCAAAACACAACCTGCGGTGGTACACCAAGCAGTAGCACGCAAGAGCAATGACAACCAATGCAGTGGTGGCAGAAACAGCTGCAGCAAGTCCTGAGGCAAGAAAGAGAGAAAGGAGACAAAGTGCTGTGGCGCATCTAGTTTGCAGCTCAACAGCAAAGAAGACGAACGGAGAAAGGAGACAAAGTGCTGTGGCGCATCTAGTTTGCAGCTCAACAGCAAAGAAGACGAACGAGGCGTCAGGGGCTGCAGCTGTAGGTGCCACGGTAGCAGTGGGCGGCATCTGCAGATGCGTGGCTGCTGTTTCCACGCGGGAGGCGACCAGATACGACGGATACAAGGAGGAGTAGCGAGAAGTGATGCAGCGGAAGAGAGAGGGAGAAGAACGAGAGAGAAATAAAGCAGATTACTCCCATCCCCCCTCAACTGCTCTCCCCCCCCCTACAGCACCAAGTGCTGCAGGGAGAGAGGAAGAGGGAAGGGAGGGACGGCCTGCTGGTGATTCACACCCGTCACCCCACGTCTCCCCCTCCCCCCCTCCCCACGACGGAAGTCGCGGAAGGAAGGGCGGGTGGGGGGGCGACGGTAGCTGCTGCTGGCGCTATCGCTGGCGCCTGGCACTGGCGTAGACGTTGGCGCTGGCGCTGGCGCTCGCGGCTAGCCGTGGCGCTGGCGCTCGTCGCTAGCGTCCGCGCAGGCGCCTGGCGAGGCGCTGGACGGGCTTCGGGCGACGGGAACGGGGGGCCGCGGGCGACGGGAACGGGGGGGCCGCGGGCGACGGGAACGGGGGGCCGCGGGCGACGGGAACGGGGGGCCGCGGGCGACGGGAACGGGGGGCCGCGGGTGTCAGAATCTAGCAGCAGGAATGGGATGAATTAGCAGCATGCAGGAGTACAAGTAGTAAACCCTAATTGGGCTGTACCCCATATGGGCATATATGTTTGACACACCCCCATAGGCAAAGTGGGGGAGAACAAGGGGTCAAACGACCAGTCAAGAGAAGCAAAGCAAGCTCAGGGTGGATCTCAACGTCACCACACATTCTGAGCACAAGCAAAGGGCCACAAGGCCAGTCCACAAGCAGAGATATATATGCAACAATAACAGTACAGTGATGACTACCTAGCAAGAGCAAGCATGCATGTATATATATAGATCACAGTACAAGCAGAGACTACAGCAAGTATGGAAACGTAGGCACAAGGCCTAACAGGGTACAAAAGCGCTGATGATCACCAGACGGAAGTGCCTTGGTGAATATATCAGCAGTGTTGGCCCGAGTGGCCACGTGACGAAGACGAAGCTGGCCTCGCTGCTGCAACTCTCGAGCCAGGAAGTAACGCAGAGCAATGTGCTTCGTTCTGTGCTCCAGTCTGTGCTCCTCACACAAGGCAATGGCGGCCTTGTTGTCGACGTACAGTACTGGAGGAGAACGAGGCTGCTCTCCCAAGTCAGTCAGCAGGTAGGTGAGCCAGCGTAACTCCTGTGCAGCCATGGCTGTGGCGTAGATCTCAGCCTCACAACTGGAACTGAGAACTGAAGACGAGCGTGTAGAACGCCACGAAACTGAACCAGAGCCAAGGCTGAAGGTGTAACCCTGTGACGACCGCTGCGTAGCCTGGTCGTCAACCCAAGAAGCGTCTGAGTGCCCAGTGAGGACAACTGGGCTCGTCCCTCCAAGCACTAGCCCCATGCCTGATGTGCTGCACAAGTAGCGCAGTACCCTCTTAGCAGCAGCCATGTGCTCAGGTCGGTGCCGACCAGGAGCCACGTAGCGAGCCAGAAGACCAAGAGGGTACGCGAGGTCAGGTCGAGTGCAAGTCATCAGGTACATGAGGCAGCCGACTAGCTCTGGGTAAGGACCACTCGGCTCTACGGACTCGTCCGAAGGTGGAGCTGAGAGCGTGTGACCTGTAGCCAGAGGAGTGGCCTGTGCTGAGGACCAGGTGAAGCCGAAGCGCTGAAGGACCTGCTGCACCATGTGTGACTGAGTCAAGGTGATGGTGCGGCGTGCTCTGTCCCGGGTGATCTGCAAGCCAAGGTAGCTGCGCAGCTCACCCAAGTCTGTGCACGTGTGTCTCTTCTGCAGCTCCGACTTCACGTGGGCGAGAGCCTCAGTGTCAGCAGTGGCAAAAACCAAGTCGTCGACGTACACGAGGATGTAGAACGGCGGCAGTGAAGTGTCGGTGCGCAGAAACAGCGACGGGTCAGCAGTAGAAGGCGCAAACCCAAGAGCCGCAAGCGTAGTCCTCAGTGTGTCGTGCCACTCACGTGGCGCTTGGCGGAGACCGTAGACCGGCCGCCGGAGGCTCCACTGGGTGCCAGGAGGGAACGACCCAGTGAAGCCCGGGGGGCGGCGCAGCCAGATCTCCTCGTGCAGGCTGCCCTGTAAGAAAGCTGTGCTGAAGTCAAGAGAGTGAAGCTCGTAGTCACGGTGAGCAGCAACGTGCAGCAGCATCCGAAGAGTGGTCATCTTCGGGGTAGGAGAGAAGGTCTGGAAGAAGTCAACTCCCTCTCGCTGACTGAAGCCTCGAGCCACGTAACGCGCCTTGAAGACAGGCGGAGAACCCGGCGGCCGCTTCACCCTGAAAATCCACATGCCACTGACGATGTTCGCCCCAGGTGGGGGAACCTCGTCGACGTAGGTGCCTATGGACTTCCAGGAAGCCATCTCTGCGTCCATGGCTGCCTGCCACTGAGAGGAGTAGGGACCCTCTATCGCCTCTGCGTAAGAGCGCGGAGTCGGGATGTCTGGTGCATCCGGGTCTCCCTCAGGGGCAAGTAGCGAGGACACAAGATGAGGTAAAGCAGCAGCAAGACACTGGAACTCCTCCTGCCTGTCCTCAAGGACGTCCGTGCTAAGAGCACACTCACCCCCGACGGACGGAGGACAGACAGACTCAGACTCAGTAACAAGACTGGCAGTGAAGTCTAGACGACAGGCAGCAGCAAAGTCAACAAGCTCAGCGACAAGAGCAGACGCAGCAGCAGACTCAAACGACGGGTCAGTGACAACTGTGGCTAGTAGACGCGTGACAGTAGGGTGCTCAGCACGAAACCGGTCAGACGCAGGGTCCGGAACGTCAGGCAAAGAGGACGCAGGAGGAGACGGCAGAGGAACAGGCTGCGGAGCAGAGGAAGGACGACGGACTACGAGGTGTGCGCTGGGGACAGCCGGCTGACGCGAACGAGGAACACGACGACCGGTACGACTAGGACGAACAGGCGAAACAGGACGCGACGCAGGCTCACGACGCTCAGCAGGACTACCAGTCTGCACAGTGTAAGGAGAAGGAGCAGGCAGCGGTGAGCCAGGCTGTAACGGAAGACCAGTAGACGACGGGAGAGTAAGAACCTGACGAAGAACAGAGTCAGACGGCGGCAGAGACGACGGAGACGGCGGAGCGAAGAACGTCGGCGCAGCTGCACCAGGAGCGGCAGCTCCAGCAGCTCCAGTGCCTCCAGCAGCTCCAGTACCTCCAGCAGCTCCAGAAGCTCCAGTCCCAGAGCCGACACCTCCAGCCCCAGGGTCTCCAGCCTCAGTGTCTCCAGCAGCGGCACCCCCAGAACCAGCACCTCCAGTCCCAGGGTCTCCAGCCTCAGTGTCTCCAGCAGCAGCACCCCCAGAACCAGCACCTCCAGTCCCAGGGTCTCCACCCTCTGTGTCTCCAGCAGCAGCACCCCCAGAACCAGCACCTCCAGTCCCAGGGTCTCCAGCCTCAGTGTCTCCAGTACGAGCACCTCCAGAACCAGCGACTCCAGCACCTCCAGTAGACAAAGGTCCAGCACCACTCCTAGCTCCAGCAGCGCGACGCTGACGGCGACCG